GCCGGCCCGGCCGCAGCGTGCGCCTCCGTGTGTGCGTGTATAGGCACGTGTACTGACATGTACACTCGTGTGTGTGTGTATGTACACACATGCATATATGTGTCTATATACACATGTGGGTGCATGTATGTATGTACGTGCTTACATATAAGTGTGTGTATGCACGGATATACACATGCACGTATGTGTGTCACTGCAGACGTGTGTGTGTGTGTGTGTACACAGACATGCGTGTGCGTGTGCGGGGTGGGCGGGGGGGGGGGGGTGGGGGGGTGCGGGCGCTGAGCTCTGCCTCGTCCTGTTTATCTCCCTCCTGCGAGCAGCGATAACCTCGGCCCCGGCGCCTGGAGTCGCCCTAGCCCGCTCCACACCCCCAACCCAGCCAAGTGCGTGTCGTTTATTATATAGTTTATATACGGTAGTGTGTGTGCGTATTATTTCTGTGTGTGTGTGTACACGCACGCACAACACTATTGTATATAAACTATATAATAATAACGTAAACAATGTGATAAATGTGTGTATTACATACATTTAGTAGCAGTGTTGATCTGATTTTTGCGTTGTATACATACACACGATTTTATATTTTATATTTAATATTTTCTTGTATATTTCTATAATACAATATTATATTATCTTTATTATATTGGGGGGGTAAGCGTATAAACATTTACTTTGCAGTGTGTATGTATGTAAATGTTATATATATATATATATATATATATATATATACATATACACACACTGCAAAGTAAATGTTTTTGTGTGTGTCTGTGTGTACACACACACACTTTGCAGGGTGCGTATGTATGTAAATGGTTTTATACACACACACACACACTGCAAAGTGTGTGTGTATATATATTTATACATACATTTTACTTTGCAGTGTGTATATATGTTTGTAGCACAAGCTTGTGTGGACTGCAGCTCCCTGTCTCCGATGCCGAAGTGCAGTAGAAGGCAGGGTAGATTTCTAACGTATGTAGAGATGACAGATATATCTGATGAAATGAGCTTCAGCTCATGAAACTTGCACTACTAGTGTGTGTGTGTGTGTGTGTGCATGTAGGCACAAAACATCTTGGCATATACACCCAGTAGCACTATCTATATATAGCACAAGCTTTTGTGAGCTGAAGCTGCTCCATCAGATGGAGCCCCCCTGACTCCTGTGACTGGCACTCGGCTCTGCTGCAAGGCACGACTTCTGTGGTCTCGGGACAAGCGCAGCACCAGGTGTGAAGTACACAAGTTTCAGTCCCATTAAATGCTAAAGAACTCATCAGGTATTGATTCTGCAATCGTTGCATTTGATGTTCATCGCACCGCTGAGTGTTGTGCGTTGTTGTTCCTGCCTTGCTCACGGCTGAGAGGTCTCGCCTGCAATGCAACCGGCTCCTAGCTTGGTGGAGAATAACCAGTTCTGCACCTGTCTCTGGCATGCTCTGGCTGGGGAGGGACTGCTTTCTCCTCCCGGCTGTTTGCAATCCCTCCTGCCTGCCTGACCTTTTCTTATATCCTAGCTTTTTGTTTTTCTCTGAGAATGGGGGTTCGTTCCACGCGTGGGGGGGTCAGACAGGTCATAGCCGGGGTCCTGGATTGCCTTCTGCCCGCCCTGTTGGCTGGCAGCCTGAAGAAAGAAGGGAGGGGGACTGATGCCAGTAGCAGCTGCAGTGTGGCAATGCTTCAAGCAAAGCCTAGATGGAGCAAGCAAGCAAACCACTCTTTTGCATGGTTCCCCTTCTCTGGTATTTCTCAGGCTCTAAAAGAGATTCCCAAAGTTTTGTCCCTGAAAGGCCATTTTAGAGGGACCCTCCTGGGTGGCACGCTGCATCAAAGGGGCTGGCAGGCCCCTGGGCTCTGTGGACCTGCTTGTAACTGTTCCAAAAAATGTTTTTAAAGTACCACCAGATTGTGGGTGGCATCAGAGGAGCTCATGAGCCTACAGGCCACACTTTTTGGGAACCCCTATTCTGAAGAGCATGTGGAAGGAAGAGGTAGGATGGCAGAAGCAAGGGAAGAGGGGAAATGATGATGCAGCAAGAGGAGAGAGAGAAAATTGACGTCTCTTGGGCTTTTAACAAGGTTATAGTGTGGTTGTAGTGACC